AAAAAAAAAAAGAAAGAAAAAAAAGACGTATTATGAACTTATTATTAGATATCATGTTAAACTTAAATAGAAGTAATTTTCAAGCACATCCTTTTCATTTAGTATCTCCTTCTCCATGACCTTTATATACATCAATTAGCTTATTAAGCCTTACTACATCTGCAGTTTTATCATTCCATGGTTTTGCTTATGCAGAGTACAATTTAATGATGAGTTTAATATCATTAATATTAGCTATGTCATTCTGATGAAGAGATGTAATAGCAGAGGGTAAACTGAGCCTAGTAGGTAAAACACTGTTTAATTATAATTTGAATATAGCTAAAGCTATTCCTGTTGAGGATATAAAAAAATCTCTTAATGATTATAAAGTTAAGAATAATATTGAAGTGTTTAAAAATAATAACAACTTAGGTCACTATTTAGCAGGTTTATTAGAGCACAAAAAACCAGGATGGTTAAAATTTTCTATTTTTAAATCTATAAATCCTTTACCTGTTACAGTGCTTTTTACAAGTAAAAGAAATAAAAGTACTTATAGGCCAGAAAATTCTTGTACGGCTTTAGTAGTTTGAGGGGTAAATCTCTACTCTGGCTTTAGAACACTAAAATTATCCAATGTGGAGTTACATATGTTTAAACTGCCAAATTATCAACAAGGTGTTCTAGTCGGTTTATTGTTATCTGATGGCTGATTGTCTTATGCTAGTGCCAACAATAAGTATCCTCGTTTTGGTTTCGAACAAGCTTTTACTCAATCTTCTTATGTATGGTCAGTTTTTGGTATATTCTCTCATTACTGCTATAGTTTACCTAGATTTAAAACTAAAAATAGAAATAATATACAAACTAGTTCTGTAACTTTTGCTACTCGTAGTATGCCTTGTTTAGTAGAGTTTTTTAATGATTTTTACCTTAACGGAAAAAAAATTGTCCCTGAGAATATTTATCATATATTAGCTCCTGTTTCTCTAGCTCATCTTATTATGGGTGACGGTACTGCTGTATCTGGTGGTATAAGAATTTGTACTGATTCTTTTACTGTGCAAGATGTAGTTAGATTAGTTAATGTGTTAATCATTAAATACAGACTTAAATGTACATTACATATGGTGGATAACAAACCTAGAATATTTATTAGTTCAAAGTCTATGGATTTATTGTCATCCATTATAAATCCCTACATTGTACCTAGTATGAAGTATAAATTAATAACACAATCTAGCATATCTAGCCAAATAAAAAAGTAAGAGAGTTTGAGCCTTTGCAAGATATTTCATCTACAAGGGCTATATGTATAAAAAACCTTCCCTCTACAGCTGTTTTTTGTTATAAAGAACCTCTAAAAGAAATTTGTATTAAACACGCAATACCTCCGTACTTGTATAGCATTTTTATTGGTTTACTCTTATCAGAAGGTTGAGCCAATATTCACCGTAAAACAAATTCAAAAGCACGTATTAAATTCTGTCAACCTTATGTTAATAAGGAATATATTTATTACGTGTTTAGAGAAATTTATATGTATTGTGAAAAAGACCCTTACCGTTTTAATAATAACCTGAAAGGTAAACCAGTAGATGTTATGTTAATATCTACAAAATGGTTGTTCTGTTTTATTGAAATTTATTCTATGTTTTATATCAAAAATGTAAAAAGGGTGCCTTGCAATATATATGATCTATTGACACCTTTTGTTTTAGCTCATTGAGTAATGGGTAGTGGTATAAGCTTACAAGGAAGAGGAATAAAACTCTATACTAATTTTAACAACATATTCGATTCCGTTAAATTAATAAATGTATTAATGATCAAATATAGATTACGTTGTAATTTAATACTAGAAAAAGATAAACACAGTATATATATTTATCGTTCTTCATTAAATACTTTATTAATGAGTATAAAACCTTATATGTTACCTTCTATAATAAAAAAAATAATCTAATATACATATTTATATCCTCTGGGTCATATTTCTCTTCCGTCTTTAGGTGTTACAACGTTAAATAGAGTATTAAATCCTAGAATAGTATTTACTTCACATATTAATAATTTGGGTATGTATGCCTTTATTCAATCAGAATTAGGTAATATAGGACGTTTCCAAGCTTCAGGTAATAACGCTATTCGTTATATTATAGGAGATATAAAAGGTATTATGCTTTTTATTAATTTAATGCACGGTAAACTTAGAACACCTAAAAATATAAGGTTTAATGATTTAATTAAATTTATGAATGCTAAATATTCTTTGGATACACCAGAAAGTTTATTAGATAACTCTAATCTTTTGGATAATAGTTGATTTACAGGTTTTACGGAGTCTGACGGACATTTTGGAATTAAGTATCTAGAAAGAAAAACTAAATCAGATACTCGTAAAAGATCTGTTAGTGAAAGTGTTACTCTTAAATTTATATTGAATAAGCGTTTATTTGATAAACCGACATCTTCTTCTATGAAACCTTTTATGGAAGATTTAGCCTTATTTTTATCTTGTAATCTTAAAAGTTATATTAATAATACAAACTCAGAAATATTAACTGTAAGTGTATCATCTTTAGAAAGTGTAAAATTCCTTGTTAATTATTTTAATAAATATCCGTTAATAGGGGATAAATTAAATGATTTTAAGAAATGAGAAATTGTTTATAATATGCTTATTAAAAAAGAACATCTTACCGATGAAGGAAGATTAAAAATTAGATCTTTAATAGGAAAATTATAAAAAAAAACAGTATTTGCTTTATTATGTGCCCTCTTTAAATTTTACTGTATGCTGAAAGTTTCTATCAGAAAAGAATAGAATAATCAGCAGGAAACCAAAAGACGGATAAATATCTTAGTAGAATCCTCAGAGACTACACGTAAAAAGTTAATACGTTAATTGTAATTTAGTTAACCCATTAACTATGATATAGTCCAACCAACGTGGAGGCACGTTGGGTAATTTCGATATTTATAGGTCATCACACGAAAAATAAATGTGGGTTAAAGCTAACTTCATTTACATCACATGTAAATGCTACTTGTCTTTCTAAAGGATTACCCTTAAAAGAAAGATTGGTTAAATCAATAGTTAGAACTATTCACACAGGTACAACAAATCAATTAGGTTATTATCTTGCTGGATTAATTGAAGGAGACGGATCTATCATACTTAGAAAGGGTGAAAGAGAAAAGATTTCTCCCAAAATCGTTTTTACTTTTGGTAAAAATGAGAATTCTATGTATGAAAAATTACAGAAAACTTTAAACACAGGGGTTATATATTCAGAAAAAAAAGGTGTATGTAGATATAGTGTTACTAATGCCGATGAGGTTATTAAGCTTATTAACCTTGTTAATGGTAAATTTCGTACTCCTAAGATTCTAGCTTTATATAAAGCTATAGACAATCTTAATATGTGGCGAAACGCTAATATAGTTAAATTGCCTTTAGATACTAGTAGTATAGACTCTAATGCTTGATTAGCTGGTTTCATTGATGCAGATGGCCATTTCTCTATAAAATTAACTGGTGAGTACGGATCAGATGATAATGTAACGCGAGGAAGGGTACAATGTGTGTTCTCTATAAATCAAAGTGAATTAAATAGAGTAACAAGGGAATCCAATGTTCCTTTTATGACACAATTGGCCAAATTTTTTCAAGTTAATTTAAATTATAAAGTAGGAAATTCTCCATCTTTTAAAGAACCAGCTAAAACAATTGTTTTTTTCGCTCAATCTGACAGAAAGCATCATATTATAACTACTTATCTAACTAAATTTCCTTTAATGTCTAGCAAGTATCTTAATTATTTATCTTTTTTTGAAGGATTAAGTTTCTTAGGTAAAAGGTTAACAAGAGAAGAGATACTTAAAATAAGAGCGATTAAAAGTTCTATGAATAATAGTCGTGCTTATTATAATTGAGATCATCTTAATAATTTTTATTCTTAGTTTTCCACCTTTTATCCGTTTAATCTTCATTTTACTTAATTTATTAAAAAAACATCAAATTATGTAAATATAAGTATAAAAAAAAACCTGTATATATTCTTATTTTTCTAGGTTGATGCCCACTAGTTTTTTCTATACCATTAACAAACCGTTGAAGGTATTTTAATCTTTTATATGTATAGGTACGAATTTTTTAATATGTCGTATTAAGATGCAAGTAGAGGGGTGAAGCCTTACTCTCCCTCTCTCTGGAAACTAGTGTACAATGTCAAATTAAAAACGACATATATAGGTCATCACACCTTGGCTGTCCAAAGAGGGTTAAATCTTGGTGTTGGTTTATTTATAGTATCTGAAGCTTTATTCTTCTTAGCTATATTCTGAGCATTCTTCCATAAACTAAGCACTTTGTGGATAGGAACCAAATTCCGGGAAAACCCTAAAGCTCTAATAACTAATCTTCATAAGGAAACTTATAAAGTGGCCCCATTAATGTCTGAGGGTACAGTAACATCATTAGAGATTCTTGATACAAATCAAGGAATGGGCAATCGCGGATCTAAATCAGATAGTCTTATATCTGTAAAAGAGCAACGAGTAGACGGTTCCTCAGTATTTTTTAAATACTGTAAGGTATACTCTAGGTGCCTGAGAAATTGGGTTTTTATACAATGAATAAAATATGTTAATACTCTTTTTGAATCTATACAAAGATTCTATACTAAAATTTCTTATTCTACCCTTTGGGAATGGTCCCCTTCAAGGGCCAGACCTAAAGGCCAGTCCCCCTCGGGTACTAGTAAAGCAATGTCTTCTAACTTTAATTATGCTTCCACTAATGGCTTAAATCCTTATTATGTAACTGGTTTTACTGACGGGGAAGGATGTTTTTATGTAGGTGTTAGTTCTAACCCTAGATATAAAATGGCCTATAGAGTAAAAGCTGTTTTTCATATTGGTGTACACATAAGGGATCTTGCCTTATTAGAACAAATTCAATTGTTTTTTGGTGTAGGTACAATATCTAAATTAGGAGCGGAATCTGTTCAATTTAGAGTATCTGGTTTTGAAAACTTAAAAGTTATTATGGATCATTTTGATAAATACCCTTTATTAACCAATAAACAATCTGACTATCTACTTTTTAAGCAAGTAGTAAATGATATGGAACAAGGAAGACATTTAACTGTACAAGGTTTAAATAAAATCATGTCAATTAAAGCTGTTATGAACAATAAAGGAATGTCAGACAGCTTAAATCTAGCTTTCCCTGATATAGAGCCTATTTTAAGACCAGATATTAAAGATAGAAATATAAAAAGTCTACACTGGTTAGCTGGTTTCACTGATGCTGAAGGATGTTTCTTTATAGCATTAAAAAAATCTCCAGAATCTAAGTTAGGGGAAACTGTATGATTGAGATTTATTTTAACTCAACATGTTAGATATGAAGAGTTCCTAAAAAGTTTAATTTCAACTTTAAATTGTGGTAGATATATACCTAAATCAGGTTATGGTGAATTTATAGTTGAAAAATTTACAGATGTTTTTGATAAAGTGATACCCATTTTTGAAAAATTTAAATTACATGGTGTAAAATCCAAGAATTATGAGGATTTCAAAAAAGCGGCTTTGCTTATTAAAAATAAACAACACTTAACTCGAGAGGGCCTAGATCAAATTAAGAAAATAAAAGGAAGTATGAATAAAAATAGAAAATATTAACATAGTCTTGTATAAAATTAAAAATTTAAAAACTTATCATGTTCTTTTCTATAAACAAAGCAACAAATAGTTTTTTAAAACGAGTGCTCTTTCACCTGCCGTCGAGCTAGGTGCAACATGACCTCCTTTAGGAATTGAAGCTATTGATCCTTTTGAATTACCGTTAATAAATACAGTTTATCGTGTAATTATCTTATGTGCGGATAATGTAGCTGTGTTGGTGAAAACCCAACTCTGCGAGCTTAACTTAACTCTTCATTATAACTGTATCGACCTACCTAGTTTACTATCTTTACCTTTGTTGATAACTGGGTCTTCTCGTGTAGACCTCTCTAAATCCAAGAGATTAAAGAAATTGGTGGCTAAGTATTCTTTAAATAGCGCTTGTCTTGATAAATTTTATAGATGATTCGCAGGATTCTCAGATGCTGAAGGTAGTTTCACGATAAGTCCTATACTAAACAGAAAAACTAATAAGATAGAAGTTTTTTCTTTTAAATTTACGATAGGACTACACAAAGACGATCTAGGTGTTTTAAACATTATTCAAAGTAAATTACGTATGGGTAAGATTTATTCATATACTGATAAGTATATATTTGTTGTAACAAAAATGGAGGATATTAAGAATTTAATCTCTATTTTTAGCAAATACAAATTAAACACTAGTAAGTATTTGGATTTTTCAGATTTTAACTTAGCTTTTACTTTATATCAAAAAAGAGAAAAGTTGACAGATGAATTAATATCTAAGTTATTGGAATTAAAAAATAACATGAATACTAAGCGTATTAATTTTAATATGCCAGAAAACCATGTCTTAATTACAAAAAGTTGATTACTAGGTTTTATAGAGGGTGATGGTTCATTTAGTATAGAAAGAGCCACTTTTAAACCTGTTCTTTCTATTAGATTATCCAAAACACAACTTCCTTTATTAGTAAAAATAAAAGAATTTTTAGAAAATAATTTAGGTTTTGATTCATATTCTATGTATAAGATAAAAAATACTTCCATTCTTTCAATAATATCGGAAAAAGCTAGAGACAAAGGTAAATCTATACCTTTAGCAGCATTAATGATTAAAAATACACATGTTTTAAATAACTATTTAATACCTTTTCTGAGTGAAGAAAAATTTATGACTAAAAAAGGTGAAGATTTTTTAGATTTTAAAATCATATGTAAGACTATTTATATTGGTGCCCACAGTATTGAGGAAATAGCCGCATTGATACTTAAATTATCTTATACCATGAACAACTATCGGTTATCAACATTCCAAGGTACAGTAAATTACTTAAGTAAGGATGAAATGGATAGGCTGATGAATGCAAAACCTACCATTGAACACCTTAAAGATGGTCGTCAGATAGACCTTATTACAAAGAAAGTAGTACGCAGTCGTTCAAGTAGTTGTATATATGAAATAATTAAACCTTCAGGAGAGGTACTATTAATGCCTAATTTGGCTGAATCTGCTCTAATGTTAGATACAAGTTTTAAAACTTTAAAAAGACATTTAGAGGTCTTAGATAATAATTCCGATGGTTCTAAAATAGTATTTAAGGGCTATACTGTGAGAAGAATCCCAGTGTTTTATCCTATTGCTTCTGAGTAAATTAAATCATTTCCTCTCTATGTTGGAGGAAGGATATTATATATGAATAAATATTTTATAGAGTTAAAAAAGGAGCTGAGAAAAGGTTACAACCGAATCAGTTCTGTGCTAGTAGAAAAATTAGGTGGAAACGGTTAAGGTATCCTAAACCAAGACCGTCGGCAGTTGTAAATGTCGCTACAGATTGGTTCACCGGGGCTGGGCTGAAATGCCCGTCCAAATGTACAATCGGACTTTAAGACGAGTGTGATATCGTAAGAAGTTAGGATGAACCATGCACACACAGCGGTTACGCCACTTACACGGTGGTTATATACTTCTTATTGTAGTATTCCTATGTTAAATAAACTTGTTTTGTAGTTTTTATAATACTATTTACCATAAATATATAGAAAGTAATGTCTGTTAATTACTTTTTAGGTTCATTTTAATTAATTAAAAATGCAAAAAGAGTCTAACTTCCAAAGGGATACGGTAAGGTTACGCCTTTCATAAAATTAAAGTTGGCTTTTATTGGCTTCAGGGTTTACTGTTACATATGCACATCATTTTTTAATTAACGGAAAAAGAGCTAAAGCTTTAAATGGTTTAGCATATACTATTATATTAGCAACTATATTCACAGCACTACAAGGTGTTGAATATTCAGTATCATCATTCACTATTTCAGATGGAGCTTTTGGATCATGTTTCTACTTTGGAACAGGGTTAATTATAGCCCCTACTAAAAATAGTATATATATAAAAAAAGGTATATCTTATTCAAATAAATCTAACAAAATGGATCCTAATTGAATAACAGGGTTTTGCGACGCTTTCACAAAAGGAGTTAAACATTTTAGTAATAAGCGAAGTTTTACTAATAACCAGTTAAGCTTAGTAGTATGGGGAATAAACTTAAATTCTTCCGTAGGTAATGGTAGAATTACAAACCAAGAAAATAGTATGATAAAATTGCCACTGTATCAAAAGAGCGTTATCATTGGATTGCTTTTATCTGATGGTTGACTTATATTCCCATCTAAAAAAAGTAATTATGTACGATTAGGATTTAAGCAATCATTATCTCATAATACTTATGTTTGATTTGTATTTAATATTTTATCTCATTATTGTAATACAGGTCCAAAATTAACAACTAGTGTAAGAGTAGATAAGATAAATTATGCTTTAGGGTTTTTTACCCGTTCTCTTACTTGTTTTACTGAATTACATTCTCTATTTTACCCTAAAGGTGTAAAAGTAATACCTCAAAACATATATGATCTATTAACACCCGTTGCTCTGGCTCATCTAATAATGGGGGATGGTCAAGCGTTACACCATGGTCTTATTTTATGTACTAATTGTTACTCAATACAAGATGTTGTCAGATTGATGAATGTATTAATGGTAAGATATGGGTTTGAATGTACAATATTTTTAAAAAAACGAAATAAAAAAGTTGAGTACATGATTTATATAAGACAAAATTCTATGTTTTTACTGCGAACTATAGTAAAACCTTATTTATGCTCTTCAATGTTATATAAATTAGATAATTCAAAGGTTTACTCTACAACTAAGTGTTCTGTTATAAAAGAATTTAAACAAAAAAGATTATACTCCATTATTAATAGACCAAAACGGGCTAATCCTTACTGAGTTACAGGGTTGGCGGATTCGAAGTCTAGCTTTTCCATAAGAGTTGGAAAAGACGAAAGTAGATTTAAAAATATACGTATCGCACCCATCTTTTCCATAGAACTACATGAAAAAGATTATAATTTATTGAAAGAAATTCAAAATTTCTTTGTAGTAGGTACTATCATTAAAAGAATAAAAAAAGGGAGTCCAACAGCAATATATTCAGTACAATCTATTAGTGCGTTAAAAGACATAATTTTACCTCATTTTAATAAATATAATTTATTAACACAAAAAAAAGAAGATTTTCGTTTATTCTCCTTAGTAGTACATATGCTTTACGATAATCAGCATAAAAATGAAGAAGGTTTAAACAAGATATTATCATACAAAGCTTCTATGGGTAAAGGATTGTCAAAAACTTTACTAAGTATGTTTCCTGGTATAGAGCCCACAGTAAGAAACCTAGTTTTACCTACAAAAGATTTTAATCCTTTTTGAGTAGCTGGGTTTGTTGATGGTGAGGGTTGTTTTTATGTAAAAACTTCCAAAATAAAGAAAGGCCTAGGTATTGCATATAAAGTAAATGTTTATTTTTCTATATCACAGCACAAACGTGATTTAGCTTTACTCGAAAACCTAGCAACTTATTTCAATTGTGGTTTTGTGGAAACAGTAAAAACTAGACCAACTCAATCTTCTTATGTTGTATATAAATTTTATGATATACTTAATAAAATAATACCTTTTTTTGATACATACTCTTTAAAAGGTAAAAAATTATTAGACTTTTATGATTTCAAAAAAATAGCAAGCATAACTGAAAAAAATATCAATTACGAAGAAAACAGTGACCTATTAAAAGAAATAATTCTCATTAAAAAAAATATGAATAGAAACAGATAAATTATAGTTAGTTATACTAATATATATATACAATATTTTGTAGAAAACAGGGTAAATTGCATGAAACTCCATGATTATTATATGTAAAATAATGTGGACAACGTGCGGCGAAGCATGTATTAAATAAATGTTGCAAATAATATAAAAATATCTAGTCTCTTATTTTTTGACGTTGTTTAACTTAAATAACTGTTTGGACCCCCCTCTCTCTGAGAGAGAGGGGGGCCTAGAAAAAAGAAATAACAAAAAAAAA